CCCCCCCCGACACACACACACACCCGTCTCCTCTTTCTCCCTCTTCTCAATTTCCCAACTGCTACAATCCCTAGTTGCCTCCCACTCGTCATAACCTGTTATAAAACTAACTCATGATAACATATAGAACAACAACACGAGGCTATCACAGACAGTTATCTTCACAATAATATTGTTTGACGCAAACATTAATGATGGTAATGAGTTGAGATAGTGTAACTTTACCCCCAAAACCATCTAGCCCCAACAATTCATCATTTTAAATTTACCAATTTCAATCCCCATTCTTGACATGATTGAATGATGAATATAACTCCAAACCAGGAGAAGTCCTAGATGCATCTGAATCAAGACTGAAAATATAGTAACCCCCTAAAGCATTGCCTCACTGACAAATAATGAAGTAGAAGATATTGTTTTAAAAGAAAAAGAATGTAAGAGATCGGTTATCACCCAGAAGTATTTAACCAAGTCCTAGAACTTAAATTTTAATATATTGGCATGCATCATTGCAAACACAGAATTGAGATAACAGTCATTAAAGCATAAATAAGAACTGTAACAAGAAACCGATAGCCATATGTCAAAAGAAACCAAAAATAACACAGCAATTGAAAGCACTTGGCATGGAACTTTGAATATGCATCTGTGAAAAGTCAATGTCGGTAAACAATGTGCATGTGCATGTGAGAGCTAAAGAGAGTGAAAGCTTTGCATGGTTGACAATTCGAAACTACAGATATGATGAGAGAACTAGTATTGCATTAGCCACCAATCACTGAATAAACAATCTCCAAATGATTGTCCCAGCCAAGTAATACAGCCAACAGGATTTAACGAGCCACCAAAGAACCTCATAGAATTCATTAGGCTTAGAAGTCAAATGATTAGGAGGGTTTCTAAATCCAGAAATTGATTAAAAGGCGATAATCTCAGAATTGAATCTTAAACCTTCAAATCTTTCTATTTAACACGCGAAATAATCAAAATGAATATACAACAAAGATCGATAACAGATGACTCAACTAGAGTCAGAAAAAAGTTGAAGCTAACAAATAGCTGAAAGAAAGGAAACTTTAAATTGAGCTTCCCATTTGAGGGTTCATTTTCTTTTCCCGATTTCCTTTTTGTCTATAGCAGAATTAAAACTCCCTGTACTCACGGTTCCTTCATAACGAATATCGTACCACAATTTGCGCCCAGAAACCCAAAATAGAGTGCAAGGGCTTGAACTGTACCATTCAGAACTAACATTATGATTCACGAAGATCGCCACCAAGTATGATTACAAAAAAAAACGAGGTATCCAGTACACAAGAACACACAAGAACACACAAACAACTCAAGGATCCAAAGGACAATGATGAGAAAGACAAACAAAACTGTGGCAAGGCAGTGAAATTAGAATATAAATACATTAATAGTAGAAAAGTAAATCGAATAAATTAACACATCAAAACCCCCTGCCTTCCGAAACGTAACATAAAAATGTGAACGGAGAAGGAATTACCGAGAATCCAAGCAAAGCTGTATCAGAAGTGGAAGAAATGAGGGTTCGGAGAGAGAGAGAGAGACTGAAATATGAGAGGGTTTTTAGTTTGGTTCCCCTTTTCTGCTGCTTTTATTATTATTATTTTTTATTTAATGATGGTACGGTTTTTATTTTTTATTTAATTTTCTTTTCCGGATTTGAACGGGCACACGGGTTTCTCTCTCTTCCTTGTTATTTCGGCGAGAGATCTAAACGACGTCGTACCAAGGCTGCTTAATGGATAATCTGATATATATATATATATATATATATATATCTTTTATAGGGTAATTTTAAATTTATTAATTCACGAAATTGAAATTATATTTTGCCCAAAAAAAACATGTGACGAAATTTATAGATTAATGAAAATGTAAACATAATTTTGTTTATATTATAGGCAAATGTTTGTTTGACTATAAATTAATTGTCTTAATTAGACGTATAGAAAAAGAATAATTTTAATTTTAAAAGGAATTCTGCCGAAAATAGAGAAAAATGGAGGGGTCCGGGTCGGTTGGCCGCGGGTTTTGCATAAAAGGATTTTGCGGTGCTTTGACGCTACCCGGAAGCAACTTGGGCCGTGGGCTGGAAGTTTGGGCTTATAATGTGGGGGTATTCAAAAGCCCAATAACAGTATAAATAATTCAGGTCTCTCCACTTGCAGAAAGGCTATGATTATGATTACTATTTCAGCGCAGAATTGATGCCCCATATGCGTAATTAAAGGATATAAATGTAGCATCCAATTTGAAACGTTTCTGCAAACCTCATACTGGAGATGGTTACAGCAACAGCTTTTACAACTTCTTTGAGAAGAGTTGCTAAATTAGATTGGGTTAAATGATTAAAATTGTTTAAACAAAACCATAGTATCTGGTAATAAATTTAAAAATATATATATATATATATATATAAAATAAATTTAATATAAGAAAAACACTGTAAAATTTTAAAAGTAGTGCAACCAAATAAACGTGTTATTGAAAACAATATTCAAAAATTAAAAGAATCTAAGAAAAAAAAAAACTTTTAAGCTAAAAGGTATGCAATCCGTTAAAATCGTCCAGATTGGGACTCAGCAGTACAATAAAAAAATCGAAAACTAGACCACTATTCGTCCATTAATCGAGTACTGAAGCTAGATCGGAAGAGTAGAGATTTGAAACTCCTACTCCACACATAAACAATATGGCTTATTCGTATTTCATGACAATTGATCAAAGAAAACTTGGGTCAAGCTGATTAAGATACAACATAAATGGGGGCTATGGCGAGAATGAAATGATCTACATGCACAACCTATACTGTAAGAGGCATGGTCCAAAAATGAAATAGTAGTAATACAAGGTTAACTATTCTCAAAGAAAAGATCGAGTACATCTATCTATAGTTACAAAAATTGACTTCAAAGTCATAAAGAATGTAAAATTCATTAAATCCTATTTTCCGAAATGACCATATAGTTGAGTATATTTCCACATGGCATATCCACGTCCGCACAAGAGTCCCATCTGCTTCAGTAAAAAACTTCTCTTCACTTAGCGTCGAATCAAGCAGCTGAAACCTAGTGATCTGATGTTAACACTGCAAAAGAAGGAAATGAAAACCAAGTAAGAACAATTATAAAACGATATTAAAAGAAATAAAACATAGTGAAAGACTCTCTATTTAATGGATCGTCACAAGAGTAGCATGACCACATTTTAACAATCGTCATCGAGATCGAGTGAACTACAGAACGAAGAACAACAGTATGGTGATTCTTTCAAAGGGATATGGGAGAAATAAAGAATTATTGATTACATTCTGAAAGCAATATTCCTATAACAAGATAAGGCAAATTAGAAATGTGAAAGGTAGAAGTTAGCAAAGAATTATGTGCAGTCCTATCTAACAGCTTTTCAGGGCATATGTCAAGAAAAATGCTCCAATAAAAATCTAAATGTAAGATGCAAGACAGTGGGAGGCAATATCTTTATGAACTACTGCAGTAAATTTGGAAGCTAATCCATGATAATCGAAAATGTTAACCATGCTTTTGTTTGTTGTTGGGAACAGATGTGTGCAGGTAGCAGTAGTAGATCTAGTAAGACAGAAAGCAGGTTGCATAAATGCATGCAAAGCTGGCATTTTAGAATCAACGGATCACCAGAGACTACAATTGGATTTTCACAATTGGGCAACCAATTGCCTTTAGGCTGACTGGGTTCCTTCATTATTCGTACCCCACTCTTCATCAGCCTCGTTACCGTTAACAAGAACGGCACCATCTGTAGAATCCGCATCCACCACAACAGGCTCCTCTTGGCTATCTTCTCCGTTTTGGTGCTCTTCAGTCTCTTCATCTCCATTCTGCCAAAGAACCACCACAACTCAGATAAACTAAACTCAATCCTACAAAAGGCATTAAGAGTGTCTAGTTCCACCGCGTGGATATATAAAATGGGACAAAATGGTATAGCAACAGGATTTAATTTCCATATGCAAGTAATTTAGGAAGAAAGAGCAACTACGAGTAGTAGAGACAAGTACTATGGCGACTAAGAAATAAGTACACACTTAACAGAAGACAAGAGCTCTACCTTCTCGCCTACCGGAGCAGCTTAGATAATGAGAATCTAACTATCTACCCACACCCAACTGAATCTCTCTCCCCCTAAAGCCATGTACAACTGTACTAGTACTTGAGGTAAGTTTCAAGTAACTTCCTAAGTGATTTTGGAAGGCAAGAAGAGTTTTTATCTTTTAAATCAAGAGTGTTTGGGAACAAACAATAATCACTGTTTAAAATATCAAATTGGTAAAAAATCATGTTCTTAAAAGAATAAGTAAAAAGTTGATTATCTAGAAAGTAATTCTAAATTGATTGACTAGGAATCACTCAAGAACTGGTGTATGATAATTTAGCACTCATAGAGTCACTTTTGGATTTAGTGCAATCAAATAACTAGGGAATAAAACTAATTTAAAAATCATTTTTGGCTCTATTTTTTTTAACTGCTTTATTGGTCATACATTATGTAGGCGTATTTGTTCTCGTTTCTTCATTAATGAAAATATTTGTTTCCTTGCCATATGCAAATAAAATTACTTTTTTAAAAAATGTAACCAAATACATGGATTTTAATTAAACCATTTTTATAAAGTGTTTTAGGAAAAATGTTGTTTAAAAAAGTGTTTAATTAGAAGGTATGTCACACTCACCCTTAATATTTTGAAATGGCGGTCAAACTAATAGTTAATTTTAGCTAGAAGAATAGAAAATTGAATACAGCACATACCTCAAGATTTGAGTCTCCGTTTTCAAGAAGCTCCTCTTCATCCACATGCATATTCCTAAAAGCCTCCACAAGTGTTGCATGTGACCTGTCAGCCTGATTAGCATACTCCACCGCAGGAGGATAGACACCCCTAGCGAAATTCAAGGAAGGAGATAAATGTACGTTCTGGTATGAAGTATCCACTACCAAGTTGAAACTAGTTTCTCAATCATGTAATTTAGCAATATTCCATATAATATAATTGACTAATCATACAAGAACAGTAACTACGATGGATCAACATTAGAGTGGCTAATGATACAAAAAAGAGAGGTTGGATCTACAATGGATCAATCATTGGGAACGGTAGAATTATAAGGGGACTTTTGGAAAGATAAGGTGCATCAAATTTTCTACAAAGACCTCTGCCCCTCATCGTTCATACTAATTCTTCTTTCAACAATATTTCATTTTATCAAAACATGTGCATAAAATGATAGATAAAGGTACCTGGTCTCTGAAAATTTAGATTCAACAGAAACAGCTAGTTGCCAATCATCAAACAGATTAGGATACTCTTCAGGATCAGCTAGTGAATCAGCTGCTTTTGGACTGACCTATAATATTTTCAAAATTAAATGGAAAAAAAAAACAAAAAATTGCTAGGTCAATGGCATCTTTAATTAAAATGTAATAAAGTAAGCATTATAAGTGACATGAAAAAATAACAAAACACTAAATTTTTAATGACATGAAAAAAAAATGCCCTCGGTGCCATATTTGTGCATGTCATCATCATAATACAACTGCAAAGAGATGTGCGTGCATTCAATTTTACTAAAGCATGAAATCTCAAACCCTTCAGTTCATACTACTCTTTTCTTACTGTAAATTACATTATAAAGTCCTTACATAAAAGAGGTAAAATTTTATAAGCAGGAAGCCTATTAATTGATGCATACATAAAATATCAATATAAAGGTAATTGTAATGAAACATAGAAATAATGGGAGGCAATAAATAGCCGCATGTCTTTCTGAATGAAATGTAGGTTTCTTCTCTTTTTGTTGTTTGGTTTCAAGGTTTGGATGATGGGAGGCAGCCCTCAAATCACGCGATTTTAGAATTCGATGGCTTTGCAAGTACCTCTCATACCAATGATCACTAAAACCTGCTCGGAACTTTTGTTCTCTCTTAAAGATTCTAAATAAACGAGATGAAAATTTTCCTTTGGTAATGCATGGGTAAAGGAGAGGATGCCACAATATATGCTGCGATGGAAGTCTCTGTCTATTGGGAAAAAAAAAGGAGCTTGACTTGGGAAACTTTTGGAACAGATGTAATGTATGGCCCTTAGAAAAGGTAAATATGGAGAACATCAAGGTGGCCGAAGAAATTATATTAACCAAATGCTAGTGGGCAAGAAGCTGGCACCAGGTGGAGGTATTCTGTTAGCTTATAAAAAAAATGCAGATCGAACAGTATTCTTTTGGACTATAAGTTATTATGTTTAATAGACTTAAATATACGCAACAATGATACGACTTGTGTATAGTTTTTATCGGATGATAAGCTAATTGATGTTCAGCTCTCTATTATATACACAATGATACAACTTTTTGCAAAGGAATATTCAACATGAACAGGACATAAGAATTAAATGTTACCTTATTCAGGTCCTTTCTCCAGATAGCAACTATCTCAGAGACTTTACTTGGAAGATAAGACCGTGCCATTAACGCTGCTTCAGGTATCCGGTTACTACAAAAACAAGATGTAAGCATCG